TTGTCCTGGTCCAGAGGCCCTGGTGACATCCTTTATTCACCCTGTCTGCCACTCCCACATGTTTGTATCTCAGTAAAATAAAGGGGCAGTTAGATCCGGGCTGATTTTAGAAACATCTTAAGACTTCACCTTATCTCACCCTCTAAAGGTACACGTTCTCTAAACTGAAGAGGAACCTATTTCTTCTGAAACCCCAAATTATTTCAAACAGAGAAAAATATTAGCAGTGGATCTAGTCTAGAGGACACGGTGAATGTGACTGGCTTCCATCAAGCAATGAGCAGAGTGCTGTCACTATTAGCATCTTCAATGCCTGCAGTGTTTGGCTTTACCCCTTTGTTAGATCCCTAAGAAAATGGGGTGACAGAATTCTTCTGAATTCACCAGGAGCTCTGGTGGCATAGTGATTAAGGCATTTGGCTTCTAACCAAAATGGTGGTGGTTCAAACCCACTAGCCCTTCCACAGAAGATGATGAGGTAGTCTGCTTCCATAAAGATTACAATCTTGGAAAACCAGTGGGGGTCACTATGAGTCAGAATCAACTCGATGGCAGTTAGTTTGGTTTTTCTGGTTAGAGAATTCCTCTACCATTTGACTATCATGATAGACATTCAGACCCCCAAACTGTGCACACACACACACACATGCTTTCTGTCTCTCTCTGCACACATATGACTATTGCATTGAGCATAGTTTTGCCTGGTGAGTATCTGATAAACTAGATTAAAATGGCCATCCATTATTAAAATGTCTACTAGAATGGCCACTGCCCATCCAGATTCCCTTCTCTCCTATGCCCCTTTTCCTACCATTCCATGTTCCCTTGGTCCTCAAAGACCTTATCTCTAGGGCACAAAGGCATCATAATGCTGGAATATAAAGAGAAAAGCTATCGAATGCAACAATTCCCGGCACATTCCCACTCAACAGCAATATTAAATATCATGAAACTCTCCTTCAAGCAATAGACCCTACAAGGTGGGTGCTCTCCACAAGTCTTATGCCAATAATTTGAAATATAAAGTAAGACATAAGACTTGAATATCAATTGCACAGAGTCCATCATTTCTGCTTAAAAAACAAACAAAAAAAAAACCAGTCGATTTCAACCCACAGCAACCCCTTGTGGGTTTCCAAGGCTGTAAATCTACACAGAAGAAGACTGACAGATCTTCCTTCTCTGGAGCAGCCGGTGGGTTCAAACTGCTGACCTTTTGGTTAACAGCCAAGTGCTTAACCACTGCACCACCAGGGCTCCTCTGCCAATGATGAGGTATACATATATTAGGATGTTCATTTATCTTCGCTGATCTCCATGGTTCCTCTTTAAAAAAAGGGGGGGGGTAGATAAGAAAGCTCTCTGGTCTCAATTCAATAGGATAACTCAAAAGCCACTGTATGGATGCTGTGGTTCCCCACCAGATTCCATTTTCCCCAAAAGTCCTTTAGCAATGAAGCACTCATTCCTCCAGTTGCTGGGATGGTTGGTGGTTGGAAGCTCTCAGCTATGTCCCTCTGTGGGAACGGTCTTTGACCAAGGAGATCCATCCAGGCCAAGGTCACGCACTTTTCCTGCGGGCAGCCTATCTCCGATGGCTAGTCCAACAGGGGGGTATAAAGGCAACTGGAAGGCTCCTTAGAAGGGTGGACGGCAAAGGTTCATCTTGCTTACGTTGGACACGTCATCAGGAAAGATGCAATCACTAGAAACGGACACCATGTCTGGTAAAGTGGAGGGTCAGGAAAATGAGGGAAGCCCTCAGCCAGATGGATTGAAACAGTAGGCACACTAACAGCCTCAAACTTACCAAAGATCATGAAGGCAGCATTTTGTTCTGTTATACATAGGTCTCCTTGAGTTGGAGATGATTCAGTGCCAACTAACAACAATCCTAGCCACAATTCGAGGCATCTCTGTTGGGACACCCCAATCCCAGAGCTCTCCATGGTGTCAGCTAAGGTCTCAGCTGTGACTACATTGTAATTAACTTCTGTCTTTGCTCAATACTATTTCCCTCATTCCCTAACAGGTGTTGATCCTGAAGGTGTTTCCCGACAAACTTTCTGCAAACAAATCTCCATCTCTGGGTCTGTGTTTTTGAGAACCAACATGGAACCTAACTTCTTCTTCTTTCTGTGAAAATAGCAGGACCTTCTGAAGGGAGAAATGCTTGTTCCTGGGATTTGGGCCGTAGGGTTGGGTCTCAGCAATCAGGAATGGGCTCAGGTATAGCAGGGTTAGGAAGCTGGCACAGGGCTGCGAAGGGTTTCCTTCTGTTGTGCAGGGCGGCTATGAGTCGGAGCTGACTTGACAGCACCTGACAACAACAACAACATTCTCCAATAATTATTTCCAGGAAGATGCTAAAACTTATCAAACTATTCCAGAAAAGGATTAGATTTAAAAAAAAAAAGACAAATTCACTGCCAACTCAATTCTAACTCACAGCGACCCCCATTGAGTTTCCAAGGCCGTAGATTTTTACAGGAGACCGCCTTATATTTCTCACACAAAGCAGCTCGTATGTTCAAACCACCAACCTGTGGTTAGTAGCCAACCTGTGTCAGTAGTAACCACTGCACCACCAGAGCTCCTCAAGGGTTACCAAAAAACCAAACTCACTGCCATCGAGTTGGATTCAACTCATAGTGGCCCCTACGTGGGTTTCCAAGGCAGAATCTCTACGGAAGTAGATTGCCCAATCTTCCTTCTAAGGAGTGGCTGATGGGTTTGAACTGCCAGCCTTCTGGTTAGCAGTCAAATGCCTTAGGCACTATGCCACCAGAGTTCTTCAAGGGTTAGGTATGACTATAGAGATAATGGCATCTTAAGATTTTCATTCATTATTTTAACATTAAAAATGTATTTAATTTAAAATCTAATTTCCTGGGGAAAAAAAATATCGTGCATTTTTTCTCCCAAGCCTTTGCTTCTCTAGGAAAAATAATACCTGGTACCAATAACTGGAAAATACAGAGGACTAAAAAGATGGGAGGGGGGAGCTCTGGTAGCATAGTGCCTAAGGCACTTGACTGCTAACCAGAAGGCTGGCGGTTCAAACCCACCAGCCACTCCTCGGAAGGAAGGTTGGGCAATCCTACTTCCGTAGTGATACTGCCTCAGAAACCCAAGGAGGGGTCGCTATGAGTCGGGGCCGACTCGATGGCACATAACAACAACAACAAAAAAAAAAAGATGGGGGGGATTAAAGAAAAATACAAGGAGTAAAAAGAGATTTTTGTAAGAGCAAAAGTGAAAAATATTTTTAAGCAGAAAATTAAATTAAAAATAAACTAAAAATAGAAGAAAGTATTCACATGTTGGGAAAAAAGAAAAACCCTAGGGTTATAAAGAAAATCAGAATATATAGTAAATACTATCACTCAAAATTCATTAAATTATCTGAAGTTTTTATAATTGTTTTCTAAGATTTAGTGGGATCTTTTTCTATTTGTTTTCTTCCAAGGAATTTTGGCTCTATTGTTATTATTCCAAGTTTCTTTTTTCTGTCCTTTTTTAGTTTGTTCTCTTTTACAGATAAAGTACATAAGAATATGTGTATTCCAGTACGACAAAGGAATGCATTTCTCCTTTGCTGGGGTAACTCCTTCATTTTATAGCCTTTACTTTTAGTCTCATTCTTGTATAAGTCAATTTCTTCTGCATTATTCACACCAACAATCAGAGAAATCTTAGACTGAAATTGACCTTGAAAAGGCAACTGGTAAATAGACGCAAAGTCTCTAACATAAATTCAACTACCTCCTCTGCAATTGGAAAATGAACTGTCTACCTAATACATTAGATGTTTCAGAGCTACTTCCAACTTGGCAACAAGAGAAAGCCTTGTCACTGGTAAAGTAGCAACAGGTGATTTAGCAGGCATGGAAAGCTCCTGCATCTGATCCTTGTCAGGATAACAGAGGGTCTTATTTACTGTCTCCTGCCTGGGTCCTTCTAAGTCGCCACTGTTTTCTGTTTACTTCTCCTCTAGCTCTAGCCCTGGAACAATGTGGAGCATGGTGTCACTGGCCCTGGTGCCAGACAGGATCAGGGGCTTTGGAATATTTACAGTCTCCCTCCTCCTGTTTCCATAAATGAAATGGACAGTCTGAATGGAGAAAATCAGGGGCCAGCTGGCTAAAAACACAACTGGCACTGAAGCACTTGGGCTCCTTCCAAGAGCTGGTGTTTAAAGAGAGGCCATTTAAAGAGCAAATTCCAACCACCACAATAACATTTCAAGCACTAGCTGTAGATCAAACAGCAAGAGTGCACTTACAAAGGCTTCCATCTCCAAAGTTTGGAACCTGTTAGATGACCCTTTCTTCTTAAGAAATTGTCTAGTGTTAAAGTCAGTCCTAAAGACAATTCCTCACACTCACAACAAATGGCAAATATAGAGTCTGTACTTTGTGAATGTTAAACACGGTGGGCCATCACAGCCAAAGTCTTATTTTAGCTTAGGTTCCTCCATAGGAAAAGACAAAAAATGGTTAAGAAATTGAGGAGAAAAAGAGAGAAACAAGAACTGACCTAAGAATTTAGTTGGGGGAGAATTATGTTTGGAGCACTGGGTATCTAGGAGATCAATGCTAAAGTTTTTGTGGCTCCCCCCCCCCCCCCCCCCCCTTGCTGGGCTCTAACAAAGGCGACAACAGTGTACTAACACTAGAATATCTGATGGCTGATGGCTGACACATCAGATATATATGGAACTCCATATTCTGAGAGACAGATATATAATCCAAACAATTCTATACATTCCGAGTTTCTGGCTGTTTTTTGTTTTTATCCCTCCCTCCCCCCAAGCAGAGGAGTTTGAAGGTGGCTGAGGAAGCTCCCCTTGTATACACGTATGTATAAAAGCCAAATGGAAGGGACCCAGCGAGGAAGTGAAGGGGTTCAGGCTGGCGAGTGCGCCCAGTAGACATTGTTAATACTAGAATCCCAGAAACCGCTAAAGCCGGTCGCTGAGGCCCCCTGGAAGGCATTACCTCGATATAGGGCACGATCTTGCAGGAGAAGTCCTCCAGCAGCCACTTCTTGGTCAACTCGTGGAAGATGACGAGCGGAAGGCAGAAAAAGATGATGAGAAAGTCCCAGAAGGCCAGGTTGGCCAAGAGGGAGTTGGAGATGCTCCGCATATAGTAGTTGTGGCACACGATGCACATCACCGCCAGGTTGCCAATGATGCCAGTCCCGAAGATCACCACCGACAAACACATGACCGCGTAGGCTCCGTAGGACTCCTGGGTCAGAGGGTAGAAGGGGTTCTTGAGCCTCACGCTCCGGTTTGTGCTGTTTCCCCGGCGGGGGCCGCCGCGGTCCAGGACCCCATCACCCAAAGACCCATTCTGGGCCAGCGCTCTGCCGGGAGGCTCAAGTGTCCGCCCTTCGTGCCCCGCGGGTCCACTGACCGACTTGGGTGGGTGCTCGCGGTGGGAACCCTGGAGTCTCCCGGCTCTCTTAGGCCGGTAGAAGAGCTCGCTGGTTCCGGGTTCCGTACTCAGAGTCTGCCCTTGGCTGCGCCCCGAAATGCCAACGCCCTTAGGACCCTTCCTTTCCTCCTCTGAGGTCTGCAGGAAGCGTTGGAGGGCCGTGGGGTGCCCCCTCCCCAAAGCTCCAAGGGGTCCCTGGGCCCGAACACCTTTCCACCTCCAGGCACCAGGCAGCATGGCCAGGGGTCCCTCAGACCCCTTGGCCGCCGCCGCCCCTCTTGTCGCACCTGAGTCACCGCTCGGGGCTGCTGGCAGGTCCCAGGAGGGCGCCGCGCGCACCACAGCCTCCAGCTCCTCCTCCTCCTCCCAGGGCGCACGGGCTCGCAGAACGTCTTTTGCAGAATTTCCTGTCCCCCAAACGTCCCTGCTGCGGCGCTGGGTCAGTGCAGGTGAGCAGCTCTTCCCCAGACAAGTTTGGTTCCCGCGCTCCGGAGCGGTCCAGAGGGCAGGGGCCGCAGAAACCTGGAGTAGCAGTAGAAGCAGCAGCCGCGAGGCGCGGGCGAGAGGCGCGCCTAAGACCCGCATGGCTCCGCGTGGGCGCACCAGGCAGCGCAGCTGCCGTTCAGGCTTTACACCCGCAGCCTAAGTTACTGCTGTGAGTTAGGCACATGTCCTTATTCACCCCAGCCCAGGGAGTGGGTGGGGGACCAGGGACTACCGAGAGGTTGAAGGATGCGTCTGGGGGTCACGCCCTCCCTACAATTCTTCCTCGTTTGCCATTTCCCCTGCGAAATCCAGTTCGAGCGCGAGGTATCCCCAAGGGTCCGAGAAGGAAGCTGCTGCTCTCGCTGGCTGACCTTGAAAAGTTACGACCAGCATCTAACTGTCGATTAACGTTGCGCCTGAGAAAAGCCCGGACGCAGCCCACGGTCCTCCCTGCCTTTGGATAATCGCCTTCCTGGTAACAGTTGCTCTTCCTATTTACATCCTTTCGGTGTTGCTTTATCCAGTTGCGAGCCGAGGTCTCCAGAGGGAAGGAAAAACAAGTCTCCCTCCCCCAGACGGCTGGCAGCTACACTCCGGCTTCCCGCTCGCTGGAAACAGGTTGCAAACAGCCAGACGCCGCGCGGCTGCACCCCCGCGACCTGCGAGGCCGCTGCTGCGGAAGAGAAGCGGGATTGGAAACCTGCGGCCACTGTCAAAGTTGCTTCTGCTCCTGTCCAAAGTTGACGAGGCGGAGGCGCGGGCGGCGGGTCCCCGCGGAGCAGGGGATCGCGGCGCTGGGCGGTTGCTGCGCCTCTCTGGCCGGTGCCGGCGGCCGCAGGAGCTGGTGGCCGCGACAGCGGGTGCAGCGTGGGCGGGGAGCGCGGTGCCTGGAGCCGCCGCGGGCAAGGCGGTGCATGGCCGGGAAGGGGGCGGTGGCCCGGCCTCTCCCCGCCGCCCCGGTCGCTGCGCGCGCCGGCGACACCGAGCGCTCGGCTCCTCGCCTCCCGCCCCTCGTCCTCGGAGAGACGCTGGTTTGTGGGAAGACGGGATCCCCTGGTGGTTTACGACTTACTAAACCCACAGACGTTTCATTCAAGCCCTTTGTAGCGGCTTTCACTCCCAGGAGCTGCAAGTCGCAAGGGACACCGGCGGAGGCGCGGAGTCTGCGCGGCTGGAGCCTAGGAATGGGCGGGACAGGTTAATTCCCCAGCTGTGGGAACCTGCCCAACCGGTCTTGGAGCCCGGGAGCATGGGAGACACCGGAGCGATCGCCGCCAGCAGCGCGGCCAGTGCGCATGCCCAAACCTCACCCGATGGGAGCAGTGAATGAGGCGCCCATCACCTTAGGTATTTCCAGGAGTTGAGAAAGGAGAGACTGGGACCTCAGAGGTTTCAAACACAGGGAATTAGCAGTTCCGGAGCGGAACGTAAAGTAAGAATGCGGATACACTATTTAACACTGAGTTAGGAATCATCCTACCAGGCAGGGGTTAGTTAGAACTAGCCAGGGCTGGAAGGAAGTACTTTGATTTGATGAAATAGTAGGTCATGGTGCAAACCGAAACTCAACCTCATTGCGGTCCACTAGATTCCAACTCAAGGCGACCTGACCTCGCGTGTTACAGAGCAGAACTGCTCCTTAGGGTGTTCCTGGCTGTATTCTCTACTGCAGATCACCAGGCCTTTCTTGGGCTGCACTGCTGTGTGCTTTCCAACCACCAACCATCTTGTTGTTGTTGTTGTTGTTATGTGCCCTTGAGTCGGTCCCGACTCATAGTGACCCCTCCTTTGGTTTCCGAGGCAGTATCACTACGGAAGTAGGATTGCCCAACCTTCCTTCCCAGGAGTGGCTGATGGGTTTGAACCGCCAGGCTTCTGGTTAGCAGTCAAGTGCTTTAGCCACTATGCTACCAGACCAACCATCTGATAACCATAAAATAATAATTCTATTAGATATTGTATATAGGCTTCTCTTATCCACAAATAATACCAATTGTATTCCTTTCCAATGCTTATTTATTATTCTTGTCTTATTCCATTGGTAAGGAGTCTCAGTATAATGCTGATGATAGAAAAGTTCAGCTGTGTCCTGTTCTAATTTTGAAGAGAATATTCCTTCGGTATTTTGACATTAATGCTCGCTGTCTTTGATTAGTTAACTTTTATATTGAGGAAATGTCTATGAAATTGTGTAGAAAATGATAAGGGGGGAAAGTTAACTTGAACAAAACTCCCAACAAAACTGACACTGCGTTCTGAACCTGCATACCATGAGCCACGCCCTTGCCACAGCTATTAGCTTATGGTTAATAAAATATCTGACAGACTGATTAAAAGACAGTGATAAGCAATAAGGCAACACATTCAGAGTGAAGAAAATGCTATGAAAAATATTATGTCAATGGTGGTAGGTAGCATAGTGGCCCTCCATGTGTGTCCACATCTTAATCCCTAATACTTGTGAATATGACTCCTTACATGGCAAAAGGGACTTTGCAACTGTGATTAAAATAAGGATCTTAAAATGGGGAGATTAGCCCTCGATTATCCCAGTGGGCCCAATGTAATCGTGAGGGTTCTTATAAGAGGGAGATAAGAGGGTCAGAATCAGGCAAGGAGACAGGAGGACAGAAACAGGTCAGAGTGATGTGGGGCCATGAGCCAAGGAATGCCATCAGCCTCTAGAAGCTGAAAAGTCAAGGCAAGAGTCCTGCCTGACCATTTTAGACTAATGACCTCCAGAAATGTAAAAGAATTCAATGGTGGTGTTTTAAGCCACTAAATTTCTCACAGCAGCAACAGGGCAATAATACGTCGAATTAATCTGAAAATGTAGACAATGGGAACAAAACAGAAAAATATAAACTACCAAAAATAGCTCAAGAAAAAAAATTATAAACCTAAGTAGATCAATAGCATTAAAGAAATAAAATCATTCATCAATAACTACACACAAGAAAGCACCAAGTCTTAAGAAAACCTAAGGAATAAATACAGAAAATGTTCCAAAGCGACATTGAAACAACCAAACCAGCAACCACTTTGTCGGCTCCTACTCATGGTGACCCCAGGTGTTTCGGAGCAGAACTGCACATAGGGTTGTTAAGGCTGTGAGCTGCTGGAAGCAGATTGCCAGCCCTTTTTATGCACCATGTCTGGGTGGGCGAACTTTTGGCCAGTAGGCAACCGCTCAGCCATTTGTGCAACCCAGGGACTCTAAGGAATAAATGAACGGTTACAGAAAATGTTCCAAAGCTACTCAGTCCATCTGAACCAGTATAACTTTGATACCAAAACAAGGCAGAAACAGAGACGATTAGAGGCTAATAATGCGATTCATTCATACACAGTTATTCAAATATACTAATTCATTCCGTCAGATGCATTTATTCATTAAACAAATATTCTCCTCAAGGTACTAAGACTACAGCAATGAAGAAAATAAAGTTTGCTCTCACTGAATTTATGTTCTCCTGGGGGAAGACAGGGAATAAACAAAGAAACAAGTAACTGTGTAATATGTCAGATAATGACAAGTGCTATGAAGAAAAGATCAGAGAGTAAGGGAATAGAGTCATGAGTGAGGAAGGGTGCTCACCTACAATGATGATCCCTGAAAGCCTTTCTAAGAGGAGGGGAGCTCATCTATAAGGATGATCCCTGAAAGCCCTTCTAATAAGGAGAGTTTTGAGCACTTGCAAATGCATGCACAATTATCCGAAATAAAATTCTGACAAATTGAATTCAGCACCATCTGTTTTTCAAAAATATAGGATATATTTTTATAATTTATGCAATTGAAGCATTTAAGGACGAAAATAAGTTTATCTTAATAGATGCAGGAGAAGCATTTGGTTCACTGCAGTCATCAGCCATTATTGAAACTGTTAACAAACTAGACATAGAGACACTTCCTCAATATAAAAGTTAACTAATCAAAGACAGTGAACATTAATGTCAAAATACCAAAGGAATATTCTCTTTAAAATTAGAACAGGGCACAGCTGACCTCTTCTATCATCAGCATTGTACCGAGAGTCCTTACCAATGGAATAAGACAAGAATAATAAATAAGCACTGGAAAGGAATACAATTGGCATTATTTGGGGATGATATACAATAGCTGGGAGCTCTGGTAGCATAGTGGCTAAGGCACTTGACTGCTAACCAGAAGGCTGGCAGTTCAAACCCACCAGCCACTCCTCGGAAGGAAGGT